TTACTGTTAATTACACTCATATATACAACACCAATAAATCCCAGGTCATTTGTAAGTGTCTCAAACTTTGATCTTACAAATGTGTGAGTGAAGTGAATGCAAAAAGAAACATTGGCAATCATACTAATATATCTATGTTAGTAATTAATATGATTTACGTTTTTTTAGATAGAAGGCACTATGTAACAAACAAAAAAAGTCAATTAAAAGGCATACCAATTAGAAGATCACTACAAAAGCAACATATAAAGCATATAAGTGCGGATAGAAAATATATTTGAACCGAACACCTATTCCACAATATAAAAACACTATTGAAAAATCTAATTGAATCTTTAAATGTTTCAACATGTACAATTAGAAAAATTAGAACACCTTGGTGGTGAGAGACAAAGAGAGTTGAAAGAAAAAAAAATAAACACTACATTAGAAGCGTTCAATTTGACTTCATTCTACCAATAAGCCAAAGTTTTCGGCTTAAAGAAATTGTGAGTGATTCAATATTGCATTGTCAACCATTTGCCATAGGAATTAAATATTTCATTATCTGCTAACAAAAAGAGAGTATAAACATCAACAAATTCTTATGTGTATGCATAGATTCCACCCAAAAATAGATTCATTGATTTTTTTTACTCTAGCAAGCAAACATAGATTCCACCCAAAAAAACAAAGATTGGTCAGCATATCTATATAATAAACCAACATATTTTAATCCCAAATAGGCTTATATTCAAAACTTCCATAGTAATAAAATAGACTTCTGACCACTTACTACTAAAAAATTTACGATAGTACAATAAACAAAATTAAAACTCATATTTTGTTAGAGGTACACCCAAGAAACCTGTTTAATTGAATGAAAACAATGTTGCAAATAATCTAGACCCATGTGAAATTCTCAATCTTAAACTGCAAGATGAAATTTTCTCTCAAACTTCTATGGTTCTCCATCTAATACCATTGGGTTGAGGTCTTGATTCTATGCCACCATGCAATAAATCACTAACAAACCAGTACTAAACCCAACTAAATAATTTAAAAACCACCAATTGAACACTAAATTCATATAAACCAACTAAATAATTTAAAAAATAGCAATGAGGGATGCTGCCCAAACTTCGCAAAATCAAAATAGCAATTAGGATGTCGGGGCTGTCATTTCAAACTTCAAGGAATTTAGTATAGCAGATTTGATTTGCAAAACCTGGAATAATAGATCAAAAAGTGAAAAGATCACAAAATTCTGTACACACAAAATTATGTACACTTAAAAAAAACATATCAAACCAACACAATACAATAAAGTAAACATTTTTGCAATTGATCGAGTAAATAAGCAAACATTTTTAATGGAATTACGCAGTTGAAATACATCAGTTCAGGGAAAAAAAAAAAAAAGATCATCAAAAGAATCGCAAAATCTCACAAAAGATTAACCCATTTCCAACCCGAATCAGTTGAGATTATTCATTCCAAAAAATATTTAAATCTACATTTGCTGTAAATTTGCAACTCGAATTTGCAACTCGAGTTGAGATTAAATTCAAATTTGCAGTTGAGATTATCAGTAGATTTGCAACTCGAATCTACATAAGGAAAGAATCTACATTTGTAACTCGAAGATCACAAAATTCTGTACACACAAAATTATGTACACTTAAAAAAAACATATCAAACCAACACAATACAATAAAGTAAACATTTTTGCAATTGATCGAGTAAATAAGCAAACATTTTTAATGGAATTACACAGTTGAAATACATCAATTCAGGGAAAAAAAAAAAAAAAAAACTGTTCAGGAAAAAAAACTGAACAGATGAAAAAAAAACTGAATAGATGTTGAGTAAAAGCAAGCTCTGGTCGACCCAAACAGTAGGGGTTAACAATGACTATCTCAAATAAAGTTGTTTATTAAACTTTTAATAATGTTGCTTGCATTAACTCTTGGGTTAGAAAGAAATGAAATGTCTTAAGTCTCATAAGATCAAACATCTTCCAAGACATTTCATGAATCTCGAATGAAAAATTGTTCATCAAAACTATGAACCAGGACTATATTTTAGTCACTTCCCAGCCCAGAGGAATACATAACTCGGCCATTTAGGAAAGACCTCGAGGAGATGACTAATTATGCATAACCGGGTTTTCTTTGCAAGATTGAGGGCACCAATCACCTGTGAACAAACTTACGATTAGAGTTGGTTTACTGGTGTTTGGTGTCATCATCTTGCACTGTGAATCTATGCCAGTGAAGATCACCTCTCTGAGCTGCTAAATGAAGCTCACTGTCATTGTGCCGACCCGTCACTTGTTTCACATATTTCTTTTTCCCGGATTGATCAATTCGGTTTCCGGAATTTGACAGAACCAAAGCGGGTGCAGGGGCTGAGGATGGTGATGGTGATTGCTCGGCGATAGGGTTTTGGTAAGCTGTTGGAGAGAGCAATCCTTTCTCTAAGTCTCTTTCACCTACTATAACATCATTTACTCATTAATCAATATTTCAAACAAATAATTTCATTTGTTCTGCTTGTTTCAACAGAAAGCAGTTTCTTGAAAAGTTACCAAAAACTATTTATCCATCTAGTAGAGCTTACTGGTAATTTTCCCAGCATTTTTATCCGCCTAGCAGAGCAAAGATTCCACTAATCCAACTATTGAATCAATTGCCCATAAAATCACTATTATAACCGATATTGCAGCTAAGGTCTATAGACTCTATACAAACATAACCCATGAATCTTGTTCGTTCTGTTTGTTTCAACAGAAAATTGTTTCCAGGAAAATTTCAGTTTTTAACTCGTTTTTGAGGGTGCAGTAATCTTTTGGAGCATATATTCTTTTGGAGCAGTCCAACTTGCAGAAAAGTATATTCTTTTCAGCAACAAATCAATTTTTTCTTGAGAACAAAGGTGTGATTTTGGAACTCTAACTTCCTTTACTGGTTTCTAATTCCCGAATAATATACCTGGGCTGAGCTTGGTGAGCCGCTGTGTGCCGCTGTGTTGAACGCCGTTGGTGTCGCTGCTGTGTTGATCGCCATCGCCACTGTGTGCCGCTGCTGAGCCATGGCAGAGGAGTGAGAGGGGTGTGGGTAGAGGGGTAAGGGGTTTGGGTTGCTGTGTGCTGCCGTTGTGTTGAGCCATGAGGCATGGCAGAGGAAATGGGTTGGGATCAACAGAGAGTAGCTGTAGGGGTGGGTTGGTGCGTAGGGGAATGGGTTTGATTTGAGGCAGAGAGTAACTGTAGGGAATGGGTTTGATTGGTGGGTTTGATGTGAGCCTTTGGATTAAGTTAAAAGAATTGAGATGAAATTTAGATCATTGGATTAAAATTAGAATGAATCTGAACCGTCCTTGTGCTTTTCCAAATGAATTTAAATAAAATTAAATTTTTAAGTGAATAAAGATTCAAAATTGGTTCTATTTTATTATTATAGATGTTATCCAATCTTATACTATGTTTGGAACGGAATGAAAAAAAAGTCCAATTCATTAGTATTGTCTATTTACAAAAAAAAAATATGAATCAATAAATTACGTATTTTTACAAAATATTGCAATAAATATTTTGTTCATTTATTTAATTTAATTTGTACAATACACTTTTAATCACAAAAATCATATGCATCATGCAAAAAAAATAAAAACTTTCAACACACATAATTGTAATCCAAATATTATGCTTGTACACCATGTTAAATAAATAACAAAATGACCCGGTGTCAGTTCTTGGCTGAATTGTTGTGCCATCGGTTGGGAAGTTCCAGCAATATACAAAATAATACACAGAAGAGTCTGGGAGGGAGATGAAGAAGCAGAGATGTAAAAGGAGAGAGCATAGTAGATCTGCTTGAAGCCAAATCTTGTATGGCTGAGAGGTCCAAAAAAACAAAAACAAGTCATGGACTTCTACACTCCCCCAAAATCCTCAAAACCGCTAGCCCATCACTACCAACTCAAAATATTCAAATCAGATCCCCACCCCTCTGATTCAGATGAACCAAGCAATGCCTCATAAGAGCCATCCACACCTTGTTGCTGCATCAAACACAAAAACGAAGAAGAACACCAACTCCTGAAACGCCACCATAACTACCAGCCCATCCCCACCCACAATAAAAAAAACCCAATTCAGAACCCATACCCCTTTCCCCCGTTGCCGCCACTAACAGAAAAATGAAGAAGCAATCGGAGAAGTCAGATAAGATCCAAAACATATACTGAGATAAAAAGATAATGGTCTGAGCAAAGAAGATAAAGAGAGAAAAACCCAGACCAGACGCCATTGCCTTCTTCGTGAATGAGAGGGGAGACCAGTGGGTTGGAATGGGTAAAAATCCTTACAAATTTACTGTGTAATGGGTGTTTTAGTAAATTGGTTGTTGTATCCTGTTGACAAAATTTGAATCCCTCCTGCTCCAGGGGTTACAGATATCCGGTGCATAAGGGATAGTGGGAAGCATTTCATAAGGCCGATCATTTCAAAGACTACGAATATCCCACCTATTTTAACATATCCAAACAGGGTGTGTTTGTTTGGAGGGATATAGGCGGATAGGACTTGTTGGATTGGATAAAAATATTCGGAGACCCACATATCCCAGCTTTGGGTCGTTCAAATGGGATTGGATTTTCGTTGGGTTGAATTACTCAGCCCGTAGTCAATTAGGCCGAAAATCCCATCTGATCCGGATAAATGAAACCCGGCTGGACTTTGGGATTTCTAAGCCCAGTGGATGGATAAACACATGAAATTACGTTATTACCCTTTAAACAGTAAACCACGAATGTTTGTTTATTTTCTCTTCCTCCATAGGCCACCACTGCCTCTCTCTCTCTCTCTCTCTCTCCTCTCCGTCGTCTACACCTCAACTTTGTCTTCCAAATCACTCCTCCAACCCCATTTTCTCTTCCATTGCAACCAGACCCACGAACTCGTTTTCTCTCTCCCCTCCGGTACTAGATCCCACCAACCCATCTCCGTCTTCCACGTGATGGAGCTTGCCAAAACCCTAGTCATCATCGAAAAGACTCCCAAATCATCTGCACTACCGCCCACTTCGGTGCCATTTGGGAAATGGGCAGTTGATAGCTGGAAATCCAAGAAGGCTTTGCAAATTTTTGAGTACCCAGATGAAAATGAGCTTGAATATGTGGTTAAGACCATTGAGGTCTTCCCTCCAATCATTTTTGCCCGTGAGGTGAGGAGTTTGGAGGAAAAGCTTGTTGATGCGGCGTTGGGGAATGCTTTTCTGTTGCAAGGAGGGGTTTGTGCTGAGAGTTTTCAAGGAGTTCAGTGCTAATAATATTCGTGACACTTTCAAAATTATTCTTTAGATGAGCGTTGTTCTCATGTTTGGTGGACAAATGCCTATTATTAAGGTAATGAATCTTACACCTTTATATGGATCTCTATATAATTTTTTTCCTTTATTATGTGAAGATATATCCAGATGGAATGAATTTAAGTTGTGGGTATTGATTAATTTTCATGGGTTTCCAAAAATGTTGGCCTATGTCATTGATGTTGAATTAATGGGTTCTTAGATTTATAGTTTTTCTATACATTTCTTTCTGTTGGCATTATGGATTGAGATTAAAAGTAAATAAAAATTTTGCAGAATTAATTTTGGTCCATCACAAGGGTTTTCAAGAGTATTTTTGGTTATATGAAAATTGGGAACTTGAGAATTGTGATTTTGAATTGTGGGCTTGATTAATTTAGGTGGGAAGAATGGCGGGTTAGTTCGCCAAGCCGAGATCAGATCCATTGGAGGAGAAGAATGGAGTGAAACTGCCAAGTTACAAGGGAGACAATATCAATGGTGATGCTTTTAATGAGAAATTGAGAATTCCGAACCCTCAAAGGATGATAAGGGCTTATTGCTAAGTTGCGACAACTCTGAACCTTTTTAGAGCCTTTGCAACTGGAGTTTATGTTGCGATGCAAAGGGTCACACGGTGGAATCTTGATTTTGTGGAGCACAGTAAGCAGGGAGATAGGTTTGTATAAGAAAAAGGGATATGAATATACTTTTGACATAATTCCATTTGCTTGTGCTTTTTCGGGCTTTGATTATGTGGCTATATTCAGACTAGACACTGAAAAACAGGTGAATACATGAACATTCTTATTTTTGTCATAATATTAATTGATAATGATCAAAAAGTAAAAAATAAATAAAAATGGTAACCATCAATTCTCAAGCCAAAAATGGAGAGAGAATTGGATATGATTCAAGGGTAAAATGGTCAATTAATGTCAAAGGTATTAGATGTTTAATAAAAAATTATAGTTTGTTCATATCCTAACTCCATCATAATGCACTATCCAAAGCAAGGATTAGATAATACAATTTTCTTTTATCCCCCTATAAATCCGGCCCATTGAAATTTCACTAGACTAGTTTAGAATTTAAATCCAAGTCAGTCCAATCCTGAATTATCAAACACACCAAAAAATGTGTGGGCCAACTATTTTTTCCACACCGATGTTACCAAACCACCCTGCCCCTTACCAAACAGCCCTTTAAGGGTTTAGGGTTTTGGTTAACCGCCATTGTGCAACCCGTCTGCTCATTACTACAGAGAACCACGCAAAGCAGAAATCAGACACTACGACTCAGCAAACCCAGCTTCCCTAACACCAGTACTATCGTTCCGTAAACATGAGGAAGAAGGTCGATGAACGAATCAGAACACTCATTGATAATGGCGTCAAAACTAGACACCGTTCCATGTTCGTCATCATCGGGGATAAATCCCGAGACCAGGCACTCTTTCTTTTCTCTTTATATATATAGAAATCGGTGATTTGATGAGAAGTTTAAGTCTTGATTTGAGTATAAAATTGAAGTCTCCCTTGATTTGATATGATTTTACGAGGTTTTTGGGCTATCTTTATTCAAATTTAAGTATGGGCCTAAAAAAGGGTAAGGGTTGGAGATGCTTTAAGCAGTGTATATATAGTCTGTAGTTCATTATTGATAATCGATGTGTGTATTAATTTGAACAGATTGTGAATCTGCATTACATGTTAAGTAAGGCGGTGGTGAAGTCTAGGCCAAATGTTCTCTGGTGCTACAAGGACAAACTTGAACTCAGCAGGTTCTTTCTCTACCTGTATAGAAATTTTATATATTTGTTTATTGTTGTTTTGTGATGTTCTGTTTCATTGCAGTGGAGATTCTAAGTGGATACTATAATGCATGAATAATTTTGTTTGTTATCAAATAAATGAATAACTCCTGTTCGTACAAAACTTAGGCCAAGTTTCTCCTTTTTTTGAACTGTTTGAAAGACTTAACAGTTAATATGTTCAAAAATTGTACTGAGAAAGTTAGTTTTGTGAAGCGCCACAGTGGACGCCACCGAGAATTTGGAGGTTGAATAGATGCGGCTTTATTCACACTAGTTCTGATATTCTTTAAAAAATATGATTTAGATAAAATATCACTCATTTATACGAGATTCATATGAACTATAATGTTGGGTGAACAGTCTGTTGGAATGACCTAAAAACTGATAAAAAGAAAAAGAGAACAGCCAATGGTTATCTGCTTTGCACAGTTTCGACTTTCAACTTAACAGTCATTTATGTTTTTGCCTTACATGATGTTGTGGGTCCTTTTTTTTGGGACAAAAATGAGCTACCAAGAGAATTGGTTTATCAGTTATGATTGGTTTATTGTGTTTCCTCAGTCATAAGAAGAAACGTGCCAAGCAGGTAAAAAAGTTGATGCAGAGGGGACTGCTGGATCCTGAGAAGGTTGACCCCTTCTCGCTTTTTGTTGAAACTGGAGGAATAACGTATTGCTTGTACAAAGATTCTGAAAGAATTCTTGGGAATACTTTTGGCATGTGTATATTACAGGTACATTGGAAGTACCCAATGGACATTTATTGGAGATCTAAATTTCTAATGTAGCATCTCCAATGATTTATGGTTCATGCTCAACATTTAAAAAAAAAATAAAATTATTTGCCTTGTTGCAGGATTTTGAGGCTTTGACACCAAATCTCCTAGCGAGAACTATAGAAACAGTGGAGGGTGGGGGATTGATTGTATTGCTGCTTCGTTCTCTTTCCTCTCTCACACGACTGTGCACCATGGTCATGGTATGAATCACTTTTGTCAATTGGCACGGCTCTGCTGGCTGGAATTTTTTAAGTAATTGAGAAGTTGCGAAACACCAGTTTCTGTTTATTTTTTCAGTCCCCCTTCCCTTTTTTTTTTCACCCAGTTTTCTTGTCTTTGACCTCGATCTAAAACTTGTGAGGGGCTGTCAGAGATAGATAACGTGTGTTTTGCTTTGGATTTTGTATCGAGTAAATGAAAGGGGGCAATGCATGGATTCGAATATGAGACAAGAGTCGAGACAACTATTTTGTGCATGCAATGTCAAATGTTAAGTTTATATCCAATCCATTTGTCACAACACTTTGGGTGTTTGGGACGAAACTGGGTGATGACTTTAAGCAAATAATATTTCACCGAAAAGCGAAAACCACAACGGAATAAAATAAATTATAAAAAAAAGAAAAGAAAAATATAACGAAGACAGAAATTCAAAACATCTGACCTCCTAAATCCTCCCTGCCACACCGAATAGAAAGGTTAAAAAAAAAAAGTCCAGACAAAATTAAAGAGGAAAATATAGAAATAGATCAGATTGTATGGATGTAATTTATTACTTAGGCAATCAATTAATCTTGAAAAGGCACTTTTCAAACTTTTCCGTGTAAGTTAGCAACTTTTTTTTTTTTGGGGGGGCTTTGGTGTGTATATCGGTTGGTGCTTAAGTGGTTGTTTAAACACTTACCGCAGTTTGCTAATTACAGGATGTTCACGAGAGGTTTCGTACAGAATCTCATTTGCAGGCTGCTGGGCGCTTTAATGAACGGTTTTTACTATCACTTGCATCATGCAAAGCATGCGTAGTTATGGACGATGAGCTAAATATTCTGCCGATCTCTTCACATATGAAGTCAATTTCTACAGTTGCTTTAAGAGAGGTAACCTTCTTGCTTCCATAGACTTTTTGGCACGTTAAGTGCTAAGTTTGTTCTGTTTGCGTATTGCACTGTGAGTTAATCATTTTTCAATTATAGGAGTAAACAGTGCTCTAACGCTTGATATTGACTTTTTAAGATTCTCTTAGAGCTCTCTGTGTTTAATTGCGTTTTTCCCTCCTTCTTGTGATGGAAGGACTCTGAGGGCCTTTCAGAAGCGGATCAAGACCTAAAAAATCTAAAAGAACAACTGAATGATGATTTTCCTGTTGGTCCTCTTATTGGGAATTGTTGTACACTGGACCAGGTATAAAATTGTTTGCTTGAACTCTTACCAGATTCATATTCTCAAAATTATATGACCAAATCAAATCTGTAGTGCGCAGGCTAATTATTTGGCATATTTGAACAGGGAAAAGCTGTCATTACATTTCTTGATGCTATTTTGGACAAGACACTTCGTAGCACAGTTGCTTTACTTGCGGCTCGTGGCCGTGGGAAGTCAGCCGCACTTGGTCTGGCCATTGCTGGAGCTATTGCTGCGGGGTAAAATGCTTTATAAGTTGTATTGGTGTATTGATGGTCCCATTGACTTGTCCCCGGTTGCTGCCATTCCCAACGTGTCTCGGCGTAGGCCGCATCAGTTATTTTGACATGGCCATCTTCTGATATGAAAAATCTGTCTGTAGGTATTCAAATATATTTGTCACTGCACCCAGCCCCGAGAACTTAAAAACATTGTTTGACTTTGTATGCAAGGGATTTGACAAGCTCGAGTATAAGGTACAGTGTTTTCTCTGCTTTTTGTTGGAGTATGAATATGCTGTGTTGTCTTGTCTAATCATGTCATCACTCTGAACCGGCTTTCTGGAAGTCCTTTACAATTTGAAAAGGAGAAAAAAGGAGTCTATAGTTTAGAGATGTTGCTGAACATGTAGTTTGGGATTTCAATGAGTTCAAAATTTCTTGTCATTTTCACATGCATAATTTAAATGGGGGGTGTTCTTTATTAATGTCAGTAGTCTTGTAAAAATTATCTTACTCTGCAACCATCGAGATCCACTGAGTTTTTTAAGTGCTTGGATTTCCCTACATGATTTGAACAACTGAATGCTGGTTTTTATTTAAGTCTCAAATGTGATATGCATGATCTGTTACATAACAAGAGAAATTATAGACCTTTGATATATCCCCACACCTTTTGTTTGCAGGAACACTTAGATTATGATGTGGTGAAAAGCACCAATCCGGAGTT